TAACCCGGCCGGCGGTGTTACTTAGCGTTCAAGGTCAGTTGGACGACGGTGAAGACGACGCCTATGACGTTTCGGGTGTGACGTCACGGCAGACACACTCTCCCTCTCTACCAATGAGGCAACCTGATATTTCCTGCAGGTCGCGGGACATGCTCAGTACCACGCGCCGCGACCTAAGGAGTGCACGGCTGTTACACGTCCTTCGTCTTTCCCCGTGTTAGTGCTGAAGCTGAAGGTGTCTGGACGTTGCCGCTGCCCCATCGTTGATTATTCCTCCCTCCCCCCCCTCGTGGTGTGTGTCTGTTTGTACCGTTGCCTCGGGGTTAACATAAGGCCCCGTGTTTATTCAGCAGTGTGTCTCATGGTGTCTCATTAAGTGTGAGTGCTTGACATCATATTCAATCGCATGCATCTCCTTCGTTGATGTTTTGGCAAGGCGACATCACAACTAGCATCACATCAGCGTTTTACAGTGCTTTAACACTATCACGCCGGTATAGTTATTCATACCTCGCTACCCTAATAGTCATCACTATCATCACATCACGAGAACTCAAATCATCACCATAAACTATTTGCCGCAAGGAATATCTGTCATCACAAATAAATACTCTAGGCCACAAAGGATGCTTAATCTGTGATACTTAATTACTAGACTTAATGAACAGCATTTATCATCACCGTCTTCAGAACATCACCAGGAAACATAACCTTTGTCACCATAATCACTATGCAAATTCATCACCATTATCATAAACATCACCATAAAGAACATCATCATAAGAAATCACCATAAAAAAACATGAAAATCACCATTAAATAAGCATCATCATCCCCATAAAATAAACATCATCGTCATTAAAATAATCACAAAATAAACTAGCATAAAACAAAAATAACTAAAATCACCATAAACTAATCATTAAAATTACCATGAAATAAAACATCACCACCATTAAAATCGCCATTAGAATAAATATCCTCATCACCATGAACCAAACACCACCACCATCAAAATCAACATTAAAATAAACATCCTCATCACCATGAAACAAACATCACCACCATTAAAATCACCATAGAATAAACACCCTCATCACCACGAAACAAACATCACCACCATTAAAATCACCATAGAATAAACATCCTCATCACCATGAACCAAACACCACCACCATTAAAATAAACATCCTCATCACCACGAAACAAACATCACCACCGTGGGGCACAGCACGACACAGGGCCACAAACGCAGTACATTTGGCATCATCATCATCATCATCATCACCCGGCCGACAGTGTCACCATCTTTGCATGACAGTGGCACTACAGTTCTCGGTGCCGTCGTATCCCAGTGATTTTTAAATTTTTCTTCGTCTTTTTTATCTCTTTTATTTTTCTTTATCTTATTTATCATTCATATTTTCTTTTCTCCCTGTGTTTGTTTGTTTGTTTGTGTATGTGTTTGTGTGTTTGTTTGTGTGTGTGTGTGTGTGTGTGTGTGTGTGTGTGTGTGTGTGTGTGTGTGCCTGTGCGTTTGTGTGTGTATGTGCGTTTGCTTGTGTGTATGTGTAAGTGTGTGTGTTTGCTCATTTTCTTATCCTTAGTGTTTTTACTTTCTCATCATTCTTATCTCTCTCTCTCTCTCTCTCTGTTTTCTTTACATTTGCATAATTTTCTTTACCTTTTCATCATTCACTGTATCATCTATCTGTTTTCTTCCACTTCTTATCATTCACTCTATTCTCTCTCTATTCCTCTTCCGTTCTCATCATTCCCTTTATTCTCTCTCAATTTTCTTTTCACCATCCACATTATATTCTCTCTTTATTCCCTTTCCCTTCTCATCGTTCATTTTCTCCACTCCCTATTTTATTTTCCCTCTTTCCTTTTTCACTATCCTTTCTCTATTTATTCTCCCT